CCACTTATATTATTGTGTGATGTAAATAAGTCATTATTTGTGAAATAAAACCTCAATCGATTCTTTGTCCCATTCCGTAATAGGCACAGGCAGATGCTAATGTGTAACGTTTTCCTTAATTAGTCATTATCTATTTAAAAGTATGAAGTTACTGATTACTCATCGCTATGTTCTGTAGACATTTTATTGTAAGTATTTCTTTATAAAATAGGTTGAAATCCCGTTACACTAACTAGACACTGAATAAATATTATGAAACATACACTATCTATTCATATATCTATGTGTGTGTTCTTAAAAAAATAAACAAAATACTAAACCTATGTCCCAATTCACGAATATTTTTTCTTTTTTCTTTTTCATATCCATAGTCAATTCGGGGAATACTTTTTTTTATATTTTTTAAATGAATGATTGATACGGCAAATGTGGTTTGTTATGTGATCCACGACCATTACCTGCTTAACCACGAATGTCTCATAGTACTAAGAAACCAGTATCTTTATTGAAGGTTTGTAGGTAATAAGATCCTCATGATTTTAATTCTACATCCTTATGTATATTTCCAGGTATTTATTTGAATGGGAGAATCGGGAGAAGTCAGCACTGGCGCTGGGCGCTTGGTTGCTATTTTGGTTCTTCTTCAGAATGTGGATGACTCCACTTCTAGCTGTCGTCCCGTTCCTTTACTTCTGGGCTACAAGAAGTAAGTTATTCAACCGTCTTTAGGTTTTGCTCAGCATTATAAATTGCATTTGTTTGACTGCACGGTTGGTGCAGTCGCTAGGCAACTGGCTGCCGTGCAACGCGTCGCGGGTTCGATTCCCGCATGGAACAACACTGTGTGATCCACAAATTGTTTTTTCGGGTCTGAATGGCTTGTGTATGTGAATTTGTATGTTTGTATACGCAGGAGAAAACTTAGTGTGAGATAAAGTTTTATAAAAAAAAATACAAAAAAAAAAACAATTTTCCTTAAATAACACTGGTCAACAAAATTTCAACTTTGTCGTGCCACATGGACTTTTTTGATATTTTTTACTTTAATTGGTAATTGTAATAAAAAATAAACAGTTAAAAAAAATTTGCTAGACAAAGATTTTATTCTATTGAGTAATTTAAAATATTGAGAAAAAATACGGAGCCGTAAATCAAAAGTTTATTTTTTTATAAATGACTTAGAAAATCTAAGATTTTCTTGAATATTTAGCTTCTGGTTGGTCCCTTTTAATTGTCCAGCAGTAATCTGCTAACATATTTGGGCTCCATTTGCCCTGCTACCGCTTTTCCATATCAGAAATGATGGAACCTCCCGCCGTGCTCGTCACTGACAGCCCCTAAATTGTCAGGAAAAAAATCCAGGTGCGAGTCTAAAAAATGGATCTTCGGTGACATGTTGCAACCTAATGCTTGATATGACAATAACAGCTCGCTAACCAACTCTCTGTAGCTGTCACTCTTGTGGTTACCCAAAAAATTTGCAACAAAACAAAACAAAAAAATTTTTAAAAGACTTCCATGCTGATTTTTCTAAATCGCTTAATTTTTCTTCAAATCTTGAATCTTTTATTAACTCCCTAATTTGAGGGTCAACAAAAATACCCTCTTTTATCTTTGCATCACTTACACTTGAAGTAGACGGTTGTGAATTGTCGTTCTCAACAGACGTAGTTGCAACTGGTATTAGTTCTGGCAATTTTTTACAATGAGAGACTGGTCTTATAGCCGAAGATAAATTAGGGTAAATAACTGTGTTTTTTTTCTTGTAATGAATACCTTTTACGTCAGTGAGACAAAAATAGCAACCTGAAACGTGATCTCGCTGTTCAGTCCATATCATGGGTACAGCAAACGGCATAGGTCGTGCACCGTTTTTCCAGTCAGTTAAATTTTTCACACACGTTATGCAACAGACATGAGGGGCCCAGGATTTGTCTTGATGGGCGACAGAAAAACCAAAACATTGGTGATAACACTCCATCACAAGATTTGTAAAATTTCGTCGTTGTTTTTTGAATGTAAGTTCTCCGCAGACATAACAAAAACAGTTAGGATCATTAATACACTTCCTTGACATGCTCACAGGGTTAATAAATCCCAAAAAAGTGTTCAAATTCAACGATAAATATTTTTATAACGATTAACTTGTAAGCGTTTCTGTTAATTTACTGCCGTAATACTAGTTAATGAGTATTACCGTATCACAACAAATAGGAGGCTAATTGACATATGGCAACTGTTATTTAATAATGAGGGTAGATTGATAAAACATAATTAGCTATCAAAGTTCGTGTGGCAAAACCAGTGTTGACCAGTGTAATCAAAGAATTAGAGTTAGAATATAAAACAATAAAAATACTTCGTAAATTCAATGACAACTGTCATTATAGCAGAATATAATAATAATGAAGACCCAAAACTGTTTAGCAAGCTACCATAGGCACAGATACCAAAGATACCACAGGTAGCAGTTCTCTTGAATTCATCTCATAAACTACCTTTCTTTTCAGATACAGCAAATTTGATTCCGATCTCACAATTCGACGAAGACTCTTCAGAAGAGGATCTGGAATCAACTAAGGTACGTATCTTCAATAAATCAGGTGAAACTTATTTACATAGTTATTTAGATACATTACGATAAACAGTTGTTCCTTGAGTTGAGTACAAGGTAATTAGAAATTCTTGTTTAAATCAAAGCCCAAAAAATGGGCAAAATTCGAATGAGTTTTTCTTCAATAATATTGTACAGTTTTATTCAAAAATAAGTATCTACGATTTGCAAAATTCAGATATATATTTCTTACTCCAACATTCGCAGCCGTCTCTTTAACTTGTTTTCCTAAATCGTCTCTTTAACTTCTTCTCATAATAGAAGGCCCAAAAATGCCAAATTGATATCGATCGAAAACTTCACAAATAAGTACCTATATGTATTTTTACAAGCTTTTCAATTCACATCAGGTTAATAGGTATAATAAAGAAAAATAAAATAAAAATTAGCTTTGTCTATTACAAATTTACAATAGATTAGTACGTAGTTGTTTATGCAACTAATGTTGGTTTGTCTAATAAGTAAATTCCCCATAGTACGTAATAAGTCATCATATTATTATTGTAGCGTAATAGTTACTCTTTGTATGCAGTCAATTAAATTTTATTAACCTATAGTAACATACGTACGTACGTACATCAACAGGAAAAAATTTAATACCTACGTATATTCGAAGAAATCCATTATTATCTCTAGAATTAGTTTGTTCATTATATATGTATAGTTGCGTCTCCGTTTTCTCCTATGGAAAACGAATTTGGTGGGCTATCTGACAAAAAGGTTTTTTTTTATTTTCACTAATAAAACACTGGCCACTTATCAACCCGAAAACTATTGCCCAATCTCGTATCGTGTTCTGAACACATACACACATATTATGCAACCAACCTCATTACAATCTGGAAACTCAAAAAAATATTGCAAAGAAACCACGGAGCTGTATTCCAAGTTTGAAAAATAATAATGAATGTTCTTATTTTTTTGTTTCAGGACGACAAAACAATAAAGACTCGTTTGTATGAACTACAGGATCTCACATTTACTATTAAGGATGGAATAGATTACATTGTATCTCTATTACAGAGGGTCAGGAAGTAAGTTACCTATTTATTTATATTCCGTTATATTTATCAAAACAGAGGTCAGATTCTGTTCGAAAGTTCCAACAATGATTTGCATGTAATAATAAAACCGTTTACAACCTAAGCAAAGGGCTTAAACGTAACTTAAGGTATATAAATCTTCCACACTCAACGATTTTGGCCTTTAAGCTACTATAATAATTGTAACTGTACGGTTTTAAACACTATAACTAAGTATTCTAATGTGTTCCTTAAACGTTACTTTTTTAAACGATATGACAATATAAAATAATGTCACCAAACTTGACATAAGTTTTGAAACAGTTAAACGGATATCAGTGTCAAACATTTCTTTTTTGACATTGACTTTTCTTTTCACTTGTTCGCATGTCATATTTTGTCTAGGGGGCAGCACTTTTGCGTAGTATATGAAAATTATGGTGAATCCTATAGAAATAAATATGTGAGAATTTATTTATTTTTGTTGTTGCAGCTTATTTAAGTTTGCGGTGCCGTACTTAAGTTACCTCGTGATGACTGTACTGATTTCAGCCACCGTTGCACTCTACATCATTCCTATAAATTATATATTTATGGCTTTAGGTATGTATTCCTTTAATATAATTACTTGTAATACTAGTAATAATTAAGAATTAGTTAAGTTGTAAGTAAACAATAAAATGTTAATCAAATGTTATAGCCAAAATACATAAATTGTAAATACTAAACTCTATTTATATTTGTTACCTGAGTAATAAAATAACTGATAAATATCAGGTACTCCACTGATTAATCTCATTTCAGCATAATATGTGTTCAGCAAATTGTAGTTTTGTTTTCCTAAATTTTATTGTACTTACAACTTTCTAAAGTATTAATAAAAAAGATTGTAAAATAAAATTTTTCTAATGAATGAAACCATTTTCTAGTTTATTTTGTGAAGTAAAATTGCTTAATTTAATTTCCAGGTATTTACAAATTCATGCGCAAAGTCTTAAATCCTGACCGGGTTCCGAACAATGACATACTGGACTTCATATCACGGATACCGGATGACAAGATGCTGGTAAGGACCTATATTAATAGTTAATAATCAATTTATAAAAACCCACACCTGGAACAACAATTTATGGAAACCGCAACACGTTTCACGGCGGCCAATTGCCGAGCCACCGCACCAACCGTGCTGTCATGCAGACATTAACATTTAATATACCTATGTTTTCATGCGTTTACAACAAGTGTTTGATATTTAGGTATTGTGTAATCCCTAGAACTCAAATGGAACAAAATTAAATGTAAATTATTTAGTCATCGACGTCATACACCTACGTCGAGACATCCAGTAGATAGACAATTTATTTTTATACGCATATATAGTGCATTTATCCAAATATAAATTTTATTAACAGAAACAATGGCGAGAACTGAGAGTCCCGGAGAACAACTTCAACAGAACATACTCGAAGAGGCGATAAATAAGGAGAGGAAAGGCGCACTGCACGCTACGTTACCTACCCGTAATGATGTAGTGTGGCGCGGGCTTTAGCTCCTAAGAGCTCTTCGTTGTCTGCACCAGTTCGCTCCTATCAGCTCCTGTCAGCTCCGGAGCTATGAAGTCTCACAGCCCCGACTGCTACCGCCTTGCACAAAGTTGTGCAATAAAACTACGTGATTGCATTGATTGCTCAAATTATTTATAATTTTATTTAATCTCATAGGTGATACTAATAATAATTTTGCCAATAGACTAATGAGCATTTAGATTCGCAGCCGCATTTTTAAAATTATTTCATTTAAGAAATATTTTTTTATATTTATTTATAAAGTGGTTTGCGGATTTGTCTGATAAATTAGTTTATAGGTTACGTTTGTCATTTTCCTAACGATTTTAAGACAAACGTGATAATTTTATCAATGTATTGTACAATAATATACCTTATCGTTATTGTAATAATGATCATTGTACAATAAATAGTAGGTATGCAAAATACAAATACCTCGTAATAAGAATTTAGGTTAGCAATGAAATTGTGATGTTTAATTTTAAGAATGAAACAATGAATAATTATATATTCTCTTATATACAAAATTGTTTTTATTTAAAAATAAATATATGATAGAAATCACTTATAAAACTATTCTAATTTTTATTTTAGTTTATTTGGCACTAGAAATATTTGACTACAGTTCCCTAGCATTCCTTATTAAATATGGCCCTGGACTAGGATATCTACTCGTATATTTACTTATAACTAAGCTTCGTGTCATGTTGAACTTTTCCCTGACGATGTACTTGTCAAACTTTTATTATTTTGAGGTTCTGGCACACTCAATTGTTTCCAATCTCTCTGCAAGACATAAAAATAAAATATCAAACAAAACAGAAGCAATAAAATGAATTATTATACATTAAAATTAATGGTAAGCTAGTAGCGCCACCTATATATCTGTCAATTATTAGTAGAACTAGTCAGCTTGAGATAATAATGCATAACGCCATCTATTATGATATTAAAGTATTAGATACTTTAAAAAAGGAAAGCACAAAACTTTTCATAGTTAATTACACGGAATAATTATGATGATAGACTACGTGAATTAGTTAGGACTTTATACTTCATAAAAATAATTAACACAAGGAACTTTACCAGTATTTTGTTGTCAGGTATTCTTGAAATAAAGTCCAATAAGTCGTTATTCAATATTCGATCTGGATTCAAACGTTTTCTCCCATATTTGTATATCCCTGAAACATTTAATAAATGAATAACATAATCATAATGCACTCAGAGTCATTTTGTGGCATTTTAACCAGTCTTCAGCAATAATTATTTCCGGAACAAAATCGTCACTAAGGAATTGTTAAAATGATCATTAAACTTCTCTGAGTATGCTAGTTAAGCATTTGACTAAACCGTTAAAGGCTCACCCTCCACTAGCGTCGGACACCATTGTCCGATATGGCATTCTAAATGTTAAGAAGCAGATCATTTTTATGAACACTAACTCAATAAGTACATTTTAAAATATATTTAATTCTCTTAATACGCGATATGATACTTACCAAATCCCATCATAAGGTACTTATAGGGAACAAAGTAGAGCAGCGCTGAATTTATGGCTAACAGTATCATCGACAAAATAGTTAGGAACGGGACCTTGAATGTTGCCAAACTGAAAAATAAACAAAATTAACATTTACTCAAAAATAAACAAAACTAACAGAGGTTGACACAAGCAAAGTACGGCGTTTACGTATACGGCGTACCTAAGTGTGGATTACTTTGACCTTGGGAGGTCACTTTAATCCAAACTCCTTACCCATTAATCACTCAGAACAACACGTATAGGTATTATTTTCTCATGGATTTAGAAGTTTGGGTCAAAGTTATCCTGTGTGGCTAAACTAATACAAACTTACGATACGAAGTGACAGTTTAAAAATAGAATTCGATAATTATTCTTGCAGCAAATTAATAAAACGAATGTTCTGTTTTTTTTACATTACGTTCGTTACATTCAGAAATAAAATTAGTAAAACGGGGTTAATAGAATTCGAGGGGTAAATAGACACGGAAGAGGGGTGAATAGATACAAGGAAAATTCGCCAACATCTATTCACCCCTTTCGTATATCTATTCACCCCTCAAATTCTATTCACCCCGTTTTACCGTATGAAACTATTTCTATATTTTGATGAACCTAATAAAGGCATAAGTATGTATTTTTACACGCAGGGATCGCCATTTATATTAAGTCTAGTGAACGCTATTATCTCAGTCCCACAAACATTTAATTTTAAACAACACTCTACTACTATTACTACTTACTTATACAATCTTTCAGCCACTGAGACCATATATTCTATACCCGCTGTTATTGTGAGTGTCATTTCTGGTAGACCTTTAATTTTATCTGACACGGACTCCCCACCTTGTCCATCATCCCCTGTATTCCAGTCTTTAGGACCTTCGTCATTTGGAAGTTTCGATTCTTGATCTAGAACAAACGAAATAATCTTATCATAAAGATACAAAATTTGAGTAGATACAGATAGAAATATGATTAGTCCCGATATGATAATTTCAAAGTATTTACACACGTTGCTACAACACAATTATTAATGTATTTAAGTAAATAAAAATGCAATAACAATACAACCATCTTGTTTCTCTTTTCAAATCTTGAGAACTGATATTAAGTACTGTTTGGCTGGCTGGTCTTATTTTTAATATCCTAAGTATTGTAAGTTTTATCCCCTGAACCGCGCCCAAAACTTCGCGATCAAAAGTCTACCACTAATTAAGTACAAAGTTTTTATAGAACGACGATTTTCCAATAGATCTTAATCAGCAGTACAAAGTAAGAGCCAATAGATCACCACAGACGGGGCCCTATAAGGCCAATGTTCAGCCGGGTTTGCGGGTTATGCGCAATGAGTCACCGCGGCCTCGGCCCAGAGCAGGAGAAGGAACAGGGGGGTTTTTAGTCAGTAAGAGTCTGATGCTCTCTCTCGCCTTACCCTAGGCGGGAGAAGTCATTTGATGCTTTTCCCCTGACAAAGAGGTATGGATTTTACAATGACATCTACGACAAGCGATGTATGCGACATCTATGTTATGAAACTTTTTTTTCCACTTAAACGTCAGAAAATTTTCTTAAATGACAAATCATACAGACACATACCCAATTAGTTAAAAAATAAGTTTCACATAATAACTTACGTAGTTTGTGATCAATAAACCATATGACTGGAAACAGGGCGGCAATTAGTAACGGCGTCATCCACGGATCAAAATAATACCAGAATATCAACCAGGAACAAAGTATAGTCGTCGATAGTTCCCGATCGTCCCATTCTAGAAATACCCTGCAAACATTTTACACTTGGAATTAAAATTAATCGAAGAAAATTTCAGACCATAAAATTTACAACATGCGTTGTGGAATCAAATAGGCCAACACACAGTAATAGAAGCGAATTCGATATCCCATATGCATTATGTTATTTTTCAACCAGGAAATCAGATTAAGTTCAGAATGCATTCAGATCATCCAAGTTAGAGGTCGCTTTGTGTTATCTGCAAATGCACATGAATGCATGTGTAACACACACATGTGTGTAGAAATGTGGAAATAAACAATGCTGTCAATCGCAAAAGTCATTAAAAGATAGAGATAACGTCCCACGCATTTGATTATGCACATATTTTATAATTTATTTCAAGTGTGAGAGAGCCATGTTTCGACACGAATGGGTCGGCTCGACCGGAGTGACAGGCCTCACAGAAGACCGGCGTGAAACAACCACAGCATTGTGTTTCGCCGTGTGAGTGAGGTTACCGAACGCCCATACCTTCCCTGCCCCCCATCCCTCCTCAATCCCTAAATCTCCAAATCCCTAATCCCTAAAAGATCGGCAACGCACTCGTAACTCCTCCGTTGTGGGTGTCCATGGGCGGCGCTGATTGCTTACCGTCAGGTAATCGTCTGCTCGTTTACCGATCAATTACATAAAAAAATATATATGGCGAATGAATTGTAAAAAGTTCATATCTAAACTTTCTATCAACTCAATATTACCTACTGATAATTAAGTAGGTAATGCCACTCAAATGATTCTATTGATGAATTAAATAACTATGCACCAATCTAAAGGTAAAATAAATAAAAATATGCAAAACGTCCGTATCTTGTGTAAGTACTATTGTAAAACCACAAAACTAAACGGACGAGAGAGTCGAACAGATCTGGATGAAGATTTTCACAGATGCATAGAGATAAATGATGTAAGTTACTTTGATCTTAAAGACGAGGGCGAAGCCCATATTTACAACCTTCCGGTTATAAAACTGTTCAAAATGTTGAATTATATTATAGGTTTCCATTATTTGTATAGGTTAGCTGAGGTCGTAGGTGTAGCGCAATAAAGTAGCGCGGCCTCTGCCTGGAGCAGAAGCAGGTACTGGAGAGTTTTTAGTCAATAAGAGTCTGACACTACCTCTCGCCCTACTCTGGGCGGGAGAAGTCATTTGAGGATTTTCTTTTCAAGAAAACTCTACGTCTAGGCACGTAGGTGCCTACATAGATATACAATTGACTTCATCATCACAAGGTACGGTAAAGTCACACAGATACGAAAATATCCATAATAAATAAGAACTTACTTAAAATATTCATTAAAGATAAAGAGAGCATCAAATGTATCCCTAATAAACTTGCAGTTCTTGTAAATCAGTGGTATATCGAACTTTGGCGGCTTCGTAATGTACTTCACCTGTTTCGGACGAAACAGTTTCAACGAAGCAATCACCTGAAAAAGGACATATTATGAGCTAACCATGTATTACACCACATTTATCAAAAACATTGCAAATAATGGGTGTCTTTATCAGAATCTAAATAGTTATCTTTATTCTAAAACCGGAGATGAATCACTCAATGAAAAACCCAATTCATTGATCATCCTGCCATAAGAACTTTGATCTATAAGATATCAAGAGCTATATTGGTTGCATAGTTGGCGCAGTGACTGGGCAACTAGTTGCTTTGCAGCGTGTTGCGGGTTCGGTACACCACTTTCTGTGATTTACAAATTGTTGTTTTGGTTCTGGATGGCTTGTGTATCTGAATTTATATGTTTGTAAACGCAGACGACACAGGAAAAAAGAAAAAGAGGGACAACGTTCTTAAAAAAAATTGTGATCAAAAATAAACTAAAGTATAAAGAGCCTAATTAAAAATCCCACATGTAGCGCAAGGCAAACAATTAATCTCCCGGATTAAAACCACAATCAAAACAATTATCACAGTTTTGTTATCAAGATCAGTTTATTATGAAATTGTATTTTCATAGCACGTGAGCTAGTGCTAACGTACCAGCTGTTTAGGATTACCTACTCGTACTAGTTCAAAATCCTTGAATTGAATTAGGATTCTAGATTACTCTATGGTTATGGCATCATAGTTTAAATGTTCAATGTCACAGACAAAGAGATTAAAAAATAAATATCTTTTGGGTGATTCATAAATAGAATAAGTTTTGGAATTTAAAGATAAAAAATGCGATAATTTTAAAGTATTCTTTTTTTTAATTCCCGTCAATTATTTATACGTAGGTACCTTGATGTAGCTGTCGCCGAAGTTACACTTAACTATTAAATTCTAACATTTAGAAATTTTATTCTTCTTTTTATGGTGGTTAATTTTGTAAAACATACTTACAGGATTCCAAAATATGTTCATTTCCAACCGCACTCTAGGACAGTTACCCCGCGCCCCCTTCTTCTTACAGCTGTCCTTGAGTGCGTACCAGCAAGCTTCGCCATTGTTTATCCTGAGCAATGGTATAATCACTCTCCCCAGAAAATCGTACAGCAACGAATTTATGGAGCGATCATATACCTTCAGTTCAAATGTCGATGCCACGTCGTAAATATTACTGAAAGTTAAAATTGTTAATTGAAAAATTCACATTTGTAACTAATTTACGCATAATTAAAAAGTCAAGCGGACGATAGGTGACTATCAATAATCACTATTTAATCCTGCGATAGCAAATGTCAAATTGATATTCCTATATGATTAAAAAAAAAGAACGTCAGTATTTCATTTGTTATTCGATAGTGTTATCGGGAATCTATGATCATGGGGAGGAAAAATATTTCGATACTTGTTTTGCGCCAACGCAGGAGGTAGATTTGATTAGATAACTCCAGAAATCCCCTTACATTGCAAAAATACTATCAAAATACTACAATACAATAGTTTCGCCCAGAAAAATAAAACACGAATTTTCAAAATTCGAACTGGTTCTTTTTGATTTAAAAGTTGATGGAAGCACAAATACGTGTAGGTATAACTTGTTACAGTCTTAAATAAAAAACCAAGTAGTAAAATTTTGTAACTGTATCACGTCATAAACATAGTAATATATGAACGAAAGAGACTCACAACACGTAGGTTTTATTCCAAACAGGTTCTGCACTAGAACTGACTGACGGAGTTTGCACTTTCTCATTGTCCAATTCCAAGGTGCAGTACGCATTCGGCTTGCCATACAATCCCTTGGCTCCAATCACTTTTACGTGTAACTGGCCAACGATACTTGTGTCTGGCGTCAAGTTATAAAACGCCTGAAATATTATAAAAATATGTTATACGATATAGAGTGGTTCAAGAGTAAATTCAATGCCCGATAACAATAATGTTGACATTATTTTTATCTGACAATCACACAAGTTATTGCACTTTTCTGAAAGTGACATGAGAGTGTATCAAGTTGTATTTATTATCTACCTGCGTTATGAAGACTGTTTAAGTTTTAGATTGAGATAAACAAATCAAGCGTCTATTGAAAAACTTCAGACAAAGGGGAGGCTCCTATGACTTATTATGTCCGATTACAGTTATTTTTAAATCTCAACAAATAATAATCAGAGTACTGTGTAGTTTTTCTTGTAAAGCCTAGGTAAGCAAGGTGTACCTTTGAAATTCTAGCTTACAATATTTTTAAGCGTAGCACTGGAACGTGATACTACACCTGGAAAACTCGTAGACCGTAGTGTTACGCTACGGCCTACGAAATGCTACGACATCTCTGGTTATGATTTAATAGAAATGTAAATTATATATTTTTTTTATTACGTACATATTTCGATCGTAGTTCTTCTACATTTGGTTCATTGCTTGTAGTCGGTTGGATAGGGTCCTGTATGCTGCGTGTAGTACACAGTGTAACTGACAAATGTACCGAACCGTAGCCTCCATCCAAATCCTGCCAGATGTCATGTGTTCGCTCCCTCTCCCGAGTCGATAGGTCTAGAACACAACTTTCAAAATAATTTAATTAAGTAGGTACCTAAAAGAGTGAACATTTCGATTTGCAGTTTACATACGACTATATTTATTTAATTTGACAAATTTCAATATGCATAACATAAATAACTAAGTATTATGAACTAGTTTATTTATCCTTTAATGTACATACATAATAAACAAAGGCGTACATAAGGCGGACATAACGCCACTAGGCTATCTTAAAATATTTAATGTTTTAGTAATCGCTGCATATCACATTGTGTGCCCATTCATGTGGCTTTTAAGTACTAATATTTTTCGTTACATTACTTGCTATGTGTTTAAATAATAATTAAAAATACAAAAGTATTTATTTATAAAAAGTGGTCAAAAGAAAACACTTGGAAAACGACGAAATAAAATTTGAGGTCTTTCAAACTGAACAGCGAGAAAAAATACATTAAATGTCCAAGTTCAGCGGCGTTCTGCCCAGTACCTATTGCCACTGACCTAGGGGTTAAGGTCACTCAGATAAAGTGCACGTTTATACAAACAACTAATCAGTTCACGTCTGCTGTACATAATGTATAAACATATATACTCATTAATTAAGTAGATCAGACTCCCGTGTAACGAACACAATCAATTCTATTTAACATCCTTGTATAATAAAGATAATTTTGTGCAAAACTAGGTTTGTTTACCTATCAACCCAAATATAATAAAATAGACCTTATTGTCTAGAATAAATTATTGAAATATGAATTTATGAAGTGTTTTTACCAAACCGTCAAATTTTTGGACAATGGTATCATTAAAAAACAAATACTTAATTGTTTTGTATCATTGATCAAAAATATGTTATTTCGACGTTTCAATTTAATAAAATATTGAAAAATTATTATAGTTCAATCTGTCAATACACTAAATTTTAAATATTTTTTAGCTAATTTTTAAGAACTAAGTAATCTAAGTATTTGATGCAAGAATACTATGGCGACATAATTTGAAGTTTCATACAAATTTCATAGAAAGTACTAATCGTTTTTGAAATTTGGATAAAAGTGTTGAATTTGACTAGTTGGAACTAGGTACCTTATTGTATACGTTGATCAAAAAAAAACTGACACTCTATTTTAAATGTATAAAAAACAAATATAGGTACTTGTAACTAATAGACAACAGTCGTACAGAAATATAAATAATTCTACCTATTTTTAATCTGTGGGGATAGATTATAGGTAGGTAGGTCTTATCGTAATTAAATAGTTCAATGAGAAAATTAAACGGATATTCGATAACGAATAGAAGGGATTACAAAATCAAATGTATCTAATGATGTAAACAAATATCGATAATTCTTATTTCTGAAGCAAGTAAGACGCAATAAGTATTTAATTGAAGGTTACTTGAGGTATCCCTATCTGCAATGGAAAGATTATAGCAGGACACTTTTTGTCGAAAATATATTAGATCTTTGTGTATCTTATTGAATCCAATTCAGCCTTTGATAATGATACGGTAAATACTGTAGAGAGTGAGTTACAAAGCTACTATGTACTTAAATATAAAAATATAGGTAAACTTAATACCAAAGTTGATTTAAGTCTATGTTTGTCAAAAGGCTGGCAAGGCGATCCTTCCTCATGTGGTGTTGTAGTTGTCCATGGGCGGTAGATAGACAATATAACCACTATCGTCATTGCATACCTATTGCTAAAAATTAGGTGATAGGACTTCTGCTTTGTCGAGCTGTCCCATAAAAAACCTACTTAATTATATTTACCATCAGAAATGTTTTAAAAAAGAAACCTTTATATTATTATTATTATTATAAAAAAATATCTCCCCATACCTGCCCATAAAATTCTTCTGTTTCCCTTTATCCCATAAAGATATTGTCAATAGCTGATCGTTGCGTAGATGTAGCCTGAAACTTTCCCGCCATTGTGGTTGCCGTGTGGCGGGAACTGCTTTAGATTTGTATGATTGAGAACCCAAACTGCAACAAATAAAATATGTTGAAATTATATTCAAATATTTATCGATTTATCGTATATCCTATTACTCATTTTGTACTCTCATATCTGACTAGGATTTCCTTTATCAAATTATTTAAAAAAAAGTCTTCAATGGACTTGGTTGAATAATGTTGATCACTACTAACACAATAAACATGACACTTACATATACCCTTTTAATTTTATGGACATTTTGTAAATATTATTAAGGCACTTAATATTTACATAACCTTTGGATAACAAACCTTTATTAATTAACCTACTTACATTAAATACCTAATTTTAACGAAAAGTACTTTATATATGATTGTTTAGATACCACTAACACACAATCAAGAAAAATAACCGTGATAACCTGGACTTAAAGTTTGAAATCGCCAATCCGCCTTGAGCAATCGTGGTGACTCAAACCTTCTCCGTGTGAGAAGAGGCCTTTGGCAGTAGGCACTTAAATGCTGATGGTGAAATGCAATGTAAATGCAAAATAAAATGCATTTTACCGGAATTTGCAGTAGACTGCGTGTGAAGCGCCATCTTGAGGCTTATCTGGAAGTCCTTTTGCTTCCACAATGACCACATTGACAACTGTATTTCGTAGGTTTTTGTCCAGTCTTAGAGAGAACTTCCGTTCAGTTTTTTGCTGTAAGAGTTAACAAATATTATGACATGCACAAGCAAACGAGCTTTAGTTTTTATTGAACCAAAATTAAATATTATACAATGCTGCATGAACACATTTTCGTTTTTGTGTATGACCCGTTTTTCATTGGGCATTTTAGGGAAACTGTAGGTACGTATAATTTATACTACCTACTACTTATGTCACGGATACTATGAAAAGTTCCCAAAAGCATTTGATAATTATTATTAAGAGAACAAGGTTTAAAATAAAATAAAACCGGAAGAGTCGACGAAAAAGTAATGGCAACAGCACCTGAAGTAAGCTAGGATGAACCCATAACTTTATAATGAAGAAAGTCATTTAATAAATCAAATTAACTACCCCTGTGACCCTCTGAAAACCAAAAATGCAATAACAAAGAATATTATTCGCACAACTAAATAAAAGTGCGATAAATATGCGACAAAAAATATGTCTGTTACCTTAATTATTATGTTTTCGGCTTAGTACTTAATTTGACGAGATACTAATACTATTTTAGAATGTCTCACGAAAGTATTAATTAAAAAAAAATGTCTGTTACCTTCTCATCAGTGGGTGTCTGAGGGGGTGTAGGCAGCTCTGTCGGTGTTACTGGACTTCGCTGCTCATTATTCACATGATTACTTGTCTGTGGACCGTTACCACTATTGCTGCTATTGCTGTTACTTTGAATATTATTGGTAACAGTACCGTTGATAATTTTGTTCACAGGTACGGAATCCAGCACTTGGTCCGGTCTTTTAAGGTAATCACTCGCAATGTTTGCAATTGAAGAAGGGCGCCACCTGTCGACGAAGTATGAGTGATCGGTACTAATCTGTTTGGTTCGCGTTTTTTCATTTTTATATATTGTTTTTGTAATCATAGTTCAAATTATTATTTAAAAGTTAAATAAAAACAATAAAACATTGTATTTTGTTGGTAATAAGTGTAGCTTAGGTGTGTAGGTTCTGATTTAGCCGAACAATTTCTACATTGACTTTGTTAACTTTATTATTACTTACTAAGTATCCACAAAAAAAAATCGGATAAGTATTCTTATTCATGAATATCACAGATTTTTGTTAGTGTTTGTTTGCACTCGCACTCAGTAATTAGATAATAGGTAAGCTTCGTCAGCAGAACAATGGTGGAAAGTAAAACCTAATATCCTTCTCCATGCCAAGTTTCATTCATCTCTTTAGTATTTTTACGTAGGAAAAAAAGAAACAAACATCCATGACATGCGTCCATTATCCATACTTGCAAAATTTCGGGTTTGTAATAATTATAAGAACTAGGATAAGAAAAGCAGTACCTAAATGAGTAAAAAGACCAATTATATTGGAAGGCCAGTCACCTTAAGAATTTAGGAATTCCACTAAATCCAGTCTCAATCCAGAAGATAAGATTAGTAATTATTGATTTTGAAACCGTTGAAGTCTAAGTAAGTGCGTAAGTACCAACGATAGGTACGTTTAACAAACTGAAGCCAATTAAATTATACACTTTGCTACGCCATTCTCATTTTTTATATTGCTCTTAAATAACAAAATATTAAAGTTAGCGCTTATAGGCTCTGGCAATAAATTCAACCATAATATTAATTACATAAAAGTTTACTCTATTTTAGGAAAGGAAATAGTGCACGTGTTAGGTGTAATAATTAAAAAAAAATATCTAACATAAACTATGGTTATATAAAACTAGAAACACGTACAACTTACTCGACTATTAATTAAAAATTGTATATGTCCTACAATACCATATTTGAAAACACTCACTCAAAACAGCTAAATATCACTAACAGTGAATTGGTCAATAAAATATGAATCAATATCGTACATTTCCATTTCTTTCACACAAGAATAAACTGAAAATACTTATATTCACACTTAATCTCGACACACAAAATATACTTACATTCCAGAAACATTTTTAGACACTAAAGCACTATCGAGAGAATGCCTCGATTTTTGCAAACTTCTATTATTCGGATCCATACTTATTAAATATGGCCGATTTATTTATTGTTTATTAGTTACACAATTAACACGGCACCACATAAGAGCAACGATTTAAAGCATCTGTGTAGTAAGATGTTGATACACTGGAATTAGCCTTGTATGTAAGTCCGATAACAAAATTATAATCATATTAATAATTACTAGATACGCCGTCATTATACCTAACAAAATATAAGTAAATGCTATCAAATCTTATCTATTTAATTTCAATTCCAATTATTTGACATTCCCAGTCCCACATTGTTTGATTAGTTTTTAAGCAATAAAATTGCGGGTTCTGTATAAACAGGTTCATACATTAAAAATATTTATACAGGAAATGTTTTAGGTAGGTAGGTAGATAGAATTAAAGGCCAATAACGTTAAGCAATTTAATTAGTCATTGGCATTATTTGAATTCGCTATCTATTAGATGACATTGTTCCGATTTAAAAATATGTATAGTATTATAAAAAATGAATAAAAATGTATTTTTTATCAAATGATCGGTTAAGAGAACACAAAGCACTAATAAGCACCTAATTACTTAAGATGGTTAATACACTTTCAGTTACTTCCCAATTTCCCATACGGTAAGTAGGTACCTACTAATCATATCTAGGAGAAATAGAGAAAATGATAATATAACGCATATCTGAAATTTATCATTGTAGAAGTCTTCCTTCTTAGATATAAAGTGACCCCTAACCGTTAGGTGTTTAGTTTAGTTTCTGTTTACTTCGATGCGGAATTTTAGCAGTTAGGAAGATAGGGATAAGTAGGTAGATAGGTATGATTCCCGCTACACTCATACACTACCTACTAACAGAAGGTCTCGTTATGTTATATTTATTTTACAGTTGATATAGGTAATTTGGGGCACTGAGCACTTTTGTCTAGTCCTAAAAACCCACATCTAAGCATCAAAGGTCCATAAAATAATCGTACCCACCCGATGAGCAACATCTCAACCCACTTTGAACTAATCAAAGGAGAGAATCAGAAGTATATTTACCTACAAACTTTACTATAAAATATACATACTATTACATAGTTGTATAGAAAAGATGACTAGTTCTTCAACAAACAAATTCTTACGGGTCTAGCAAAAAAAATTACATTCGGACTACTAGCCAGTGACATCTTTTGAGTAATAGCTCAAACAAGTCGTTTATATCTACTTGCCGCTAGGTGCGCTGCACGTCGGCGTCTAGGAACGCGTCACTACATTTTGTGGCGCTAGTGTCATTACAAATTACAATTTTCGTTTGTGATTTTGTGTCGAGCGTGAGAGGTTATGGAGTAAAAATATTAATTTAATTTAGTGAGAAGTGCCGTGAATAGTGTTATCCAAGATGACTACGGATACAAGAAAGGATAGTTTATCTTCTTTTAAAATATGCCGTTTTTGTTTAGCTCAAGGAGATTCGCTAACAAGTATTTACCAAAAACGAGCTACAAAAAACGCCATTCATCTACCGCTAAAAATATTATCATGCGTTGCGATAGAGGTATGCAGTATTTATATATTTTATTATAATTACTAGTTCCACTTAAATATTTTATTCCACTTATTTCCTGGGGTTTTTGTCTACGTACAGCGCAATGGCGCCGAATGCACATATTGAACAATTTATCGAATGTTTACTTATTCCCCTGCATAACCGTTGTTGCATGACTTATTATGCTTATCTTTTGCATAGTAGATTTCTATAAAGTGGTTTAGTTGAGGCGTATGCACTCATTTTGTCGATTTTCTCAATTATTTTGTTCTGCAGGCGCCATCTGGTGTACACAACAACAATGATCAGAAATAGATTACAATAACACATATTTTGATTTCTATATCTTTGCAGAAAATATTCTTTACAAGTTTATTAATGTATTACCAATTTCCAGGTCTTTCCATCTGATAAAATGCCAACATATATTTGTAGCCGCTGCAAATTTTTCATGGAATTATGTTATGACTTCAAACAAGTATGTCGGCAAGCTGATGAACATATCTTGCAGTATGTACAAAACGCAACACCTTTGTCTGCCATGTCCTGGCCACAATCTCTAGTCAAAGTAAGTCAAATATATAGAACATTGTAAAAATTTAATATACCTTATGTGCAGTATATTGACAATTTAAGCAAATTAAAATTAATGTTTTACTTAAATCTTTTTATTTTATTTCAGATATTCCGTTTGGCTAATAATAACAAAATGACTGAAGTGCCTCTGATGAAAACTGTGATAGACGGAGGCACCACTGTTCAGGTTGTGGCCAATGAATCTGACTCCGATGAGGAAGATGATGAGAATGTATATAATGTAAAAGTAAGCCAAGACCAAATTTTATAACATAACTAAATTAATGTTCACACCACATTAAAAATAAATTGTTTGGACACATTATTTTATTAAGAATTATTTAAACCAACTTTTCACTAAGAAGGACTGAATCCACTTATGATTGACAGACTTTACAGACACACTTTACACTATAATTTATAAGTAGATATGCTTGCCCTAACAAGGAGCCTTAGCTTGGAGCCTATCCAGGGATTGGTCCTCATAGGTAGTAAAAATCTTGTAACATGATAGGCTACATGTAGTCTTATAAGTAAAGAGGAAAATTACTTACTAACTAACTATAAGTACTTGCTTAAAGTAAAAAAATATATCTTGGAAACATAATTCTAGATAGGAGATGGCACTGACGATGGGCCAAATAGTGCCAGAGTGAAAGTTGTCACAGGCATGGAAAAACAGGAGAAAGGAAAACAGAAGAGAGCACCAAAAGGTAATATAAAACATTTATTTTCACCAATTAAAGGTACTTGCTCTACAAGAAAAGTTCTGCAAAACAGTTCCTAACCACAAATTATCTAATTATAATTAGTAAATTAATGCTTAAAATTTCATATAATGTTAGTTAAGGTCTTTAGTCATGTTCCTTGCTTAGTTCATGTATGGTTAGACTATACTACTTTCAATTGTAATGAATGATATGCAAATTAAAAATATATTTAAGTCATGGCCTACCTGATATTAATTTTAGTGAACTATGATACATTATTATCCCACTAGTAAAACTCAATACTTTTATTGAAATGTCGAAAAAGATATATGTATATTGGTATGAATTTTATATGAAATCGGGACATATGACGTCATAATGTCTATATAAAATAGCATACAATGCATGCAATAAAGTTTGCTAGAAAAAATCTAAAACAAAGTATATTGTCAAACCTGTGTATGAAAAGTAAGGTAATATTTTCAATAATTAATTGTATTGAAAAGTCAAAATTATTTATTTGTAGCTAATATATGGTGTATTGTTCGATCAATCTAACCAAACCCATGTAGAAAATGTCCCATGAATAATCCATTCCACATTCCATTCACTTGTCAGTGGAAGACCAGTAGGAAGAAGTCTGTCTGCAGTAGTGCAGTCTATCTGTGTTAACTTAATGAGTGGTTGATGACCAAAGACTTTCTAGTCAAAAGACCATTCTCTTTTTTCAAGAACTCAAATTAAGTAAATAAGACACTGAACACAACAGTTAAATAAAAAGACACATTGTTGTGTTTATGTATTGTTCTCAAATGTGGAACAGAACAGTTTTGCATAACTTCCTACGATCTATTTTTTTATTTTATATTTTTATTTATGTAAAAATGTTATAAATGTTTAGGAACCTTTATTGCCACGTGTTCATAGCTTATACTATCATCTGTGTACACATTTATTTTTAAGCATGCTTGCGATTTTTTTTAATCTATGTATGTGGAAGTGCCATTTTTGAACTTTTAAAATTGCATCTAAATATTACACTTCTATATTAATGTTTATAATAAACCATAAATATAATGAAAGAAGCACTAATTATTTCTGCGAAATCAATATACTAATTAGTGCATTTAATATCAATTAGGCAAAAATGTTAAATCTATAATGTCATTAACCTCTGAATAGTAATTTATTCATAATTATGTTGGATTTAATGTGTGAAACTAGGTATGTACATAGATAAAAACTGACTCAAAAGTTTCAAATGTTATTCTAGTCTATATTGAAGTCAAACCTGGCACAATCTACCCTTTTAGGGCCACACTAATTGTGTATCTTCTTTTATTTTAAGAATGTCAATTGCGAAATGTGTAGGAATTTGGTAGCCATTTTGTTATCCACAGCTTATCGAAGTCGTTGAAAGGTATGTGACTTTTCTGTGTGTATTTAGTTATAGACCCAAACCTATTTATTGTAAAACTGTATCTATTTATTTCAATGCACTTATGTTAGTAGCACCGACTATGTGTGTTCTCGCATGTTCCCTGTGCAAGTTAGTATCTGTTTAATTAAAGTGAACGTAAACATTGTCAAATTAACGATTTGCCTTAGTATGTTGCGAGGAAGAACTGGAAGATGAGATTGAGCCTGTCGAACTCCCTCATCCGCCACCAGAGCTTTTAGAGTAAGTTCTATTCATCACTCTACCAGGAAAAGTCAGCCGGCCGCGTCTGTCTCCACGGATTCTTCAAAATTTTCGAATTTTATTTTCATAATTGGCTTTTAGTGTATCGTTAGTCGCGGGAACATTCAAGTTTTAGTAATCAGCAGGAATGGATTGTATCGATTTTATCCTTAATTGCCTAAGTTAAAATTAAGTTAGCCTATCTTTTAGTACTTAGATTCTTAGATCCACATTCTGAAGTTGTTCAATGATTATCACACAATATTGTAATAAAAATGTCATCGCTGTAAATAGCATAATACAGAGCGAAGCTGTCTTATGAGCCTCTACGTACAATCGGAGCAAACACTTCGGCTGCACGTACGCCTTCCGTTGTCGGGGATCCCATGGTCCTGCGATGGGAAAAGACATACAATATAATATTAATCGTTAACTCACAGATTCCCGACCGTAAGCATCAAGCACGCGCGGCAGACTGGCGATTTCGGAACATTGATTGCAAATATTTGCCTAAATATCTGAGTACCGTAATTGATAAACTTTTTTACAGAATCCTTAGAGAAGCCATGATCAAGCTACACCGATGTCGGAGTCACATTTTTATGCCAACATTTCGGTGTAAATTCTGCCCACTGCGTGAGTGCGAGGAAGACAACAACAGCATTTAATCGATCAAAAAATATTCACTCACTTCATATGAGCTATGAACACACGTGTATTTTATGTATCATTTAGGGCCATGGATTCCTGCGAACTAATGAACTCCTAGTATCTGAAAGTGTTATCTATATTTGTAACACTTTTTACTATACACGCCTGCCTATACATACCTATAATTTTTATATGTGAACTTACACTGAGGACACTTTCAGAAACTAGACGAATAATTTTAAATGTTGTTTTTCAATGCGCAGTACAGTCAACCACGCATGTGGTGAAATAAATCGCTTTGAAGTCATATTGCTGCCATAGAAGTGGGGTTGACTGTAGAAATCTTAGATAAACGTTAAATATCTACTATATTTTTTTGTTAAAGGGTTCCACACGTCGCCGAAGTTGGCGAAGCACGTCCAGGCTCATAACGATAATAGATCGTTCCCGTGCAAGTATTGCAATAAAAGCTTCGTCAAGTCTCATCATTATACAAGGTATGAACCAATTATATTTTCAACTACTTAAACAATATTCACAATTTCCTAGACAATTTTTCTTTTTGGTGTATGCAGTATGCATAGCTTTATGACTACCCTTTACTCATAGTCGGCGTAATGGCGGCTTCTTCTATTGTATTCAATCTAGTGTCATCACATCACAAATTGGCATAAGCATACAATTTACGCCATACTATAACACCCTTATAAATTTTTAGTACTGCCACTATTATTAATTATAATTTCTCCTTAAATTAATTACATGTTTTCCTTCAGACATCTGCGTCTAAAACATAGAGAAACAATACGTACCTGCCGAGGTCCGTTCGGCGAGAGTGACCAGTATCGTTGCGAACAATGTGAAGACAGTTTCGCTACACAAGACGAGTTGATCTACCACTCAGCTATACACGCCACGCAGAATCTCACCTGCCCACTCTGCCAGGAAAAGTTTGAGGATGTCGATGGAGTTACAACGCATATCAAATCCCATGTCAGTGGTAAGTACAAAAAGGTATTTGACATGATATGTAATTAAATCTTAAGAGTTATTGAACTATTAATTAAATTTACCAACATCCATTACTTAAGCCTAGCTAGGACACAAATACCTGTATCATAAAATCTTATCATATTAACCCAATTACTTATTACTTTTAAAATTATTCTTTCCTTCATTTATTTCTAAAAAACTTCGATTATTCTTACACCAAGTATGGCCCCACAACGAAAACCTCTCTGAGTACAATAATAACTTATGTATCTATACTCTATATTTGTATCCTACATTGAATATGTTTGCATATTTAGTCAGTTTTTTACATAGAATGAAAAACAACTTCATTCGATACCAATAATAATTGATACATGTGTGATCCACAGGTACAGAATACATGTGCGAGTTATGTGAGCTGGTCTTCACGTCTAAAATGAAGTTGAACAATCATATGCAAGTAGCACACGATGAGGAACTTCGCAGCGTACCGGTAACGCCTCCATATAACTAGATAAACTAAATGCTTCAGGAACATACAATTTTACTCATCACATGATTATAAACATGTTTAATGACAGTGTAGGGGGAACCTACTTTGCGAAATTATTTATTCTTTACTGGAACTGAATTATAAAGTAATTAAATTGTATTCAGTACCTGAAAAAAGTAAATCTGAACATTTCTATGTCTTTAATTTAAAATAAATAACAATTGAAACTACTATTTAAAAAAATCATAGTTTGATAACATTCTAAACACATATATTACGAATATGTTATCTGTTGCTGTTGCAGGATCTTGGTCAAGATGAGTCCTCCACGGAGATGGATGTCGATGAAGAAGATGATGATTCTGCCATCAATGGTGAGTAGTCATCACGCCTTTGTATTTCTTTTTTACATATAAATCTGACGTGTGAAAGTGCTGTTTATTATTATTTAATCTTTCAATACTTTACATTTTTGTATTAAACTAGTCTAAGCACTCCTCTCCCAAACCTTCTACAAGGATATGAAAACCAAACACTGCACGGTTGGTCCGGTGGCCGGGCAACTGGCTGCCGTGCAACGTGTCGCGGGTTCGATTCCCGCACGGAACAACTCTTTGTGTGATCCACAAATTGTTGTTCCGGGTCTGGGTGTCATGTGTAATGTGAAATTGTATGTTTGTAACCGCACCCACGACACAGGAGAAAATCCAAAGGTGGGGCAAAGTTTAAAAAAAAATGCTATACTATTGTATTGCAAATTAGATCCTTAATAGTTTCCTAAATAAAAACGATTTTCGGTTCTTGCAAAGATAATACTGTTTTATATATTAGAAATTAAAATAAATCTGCGAGTTTTATCCAGTTTTATTAACTTTAGAAATAATATTAATAAAGTGTGTTTTTGAGATGAGTTGTAGCTGATTTTCAATGTTTCGCTTTTCAGTGAAAGAACTAGGGGATCACATGGTTGTTGAAATTAAGAAGACTGATGAATTTTTGGTAATTATTATTTTTTGTTTACTTGTTTTTTGCGCACACAATGCAACACACCTCAAAATACTATTTATACCCTAAAGTTATGCTTGTTGGAAATCGTCGAAATGAAAAGACTAAATTGATTTATAGGGGAAGGTTTAATCCTAATATTTGGTTTTCCACAGATATCAAACAACCAAGAAGAATCGGAAGAAAAAGCCACAAATTCTGAAGGTATTTAATTTTTTACATGGTAGTCAGTATTCATGTTTTTTTAAATATATTTAAATATTCTTTTCGTTTTTAAGGTATTTGTTTGTTTTCTTATTTGCATTACATTTTGTTGTACGGTGTGTACTAGATCAGAAAATTACAATATAAATATTGTTATTGTTTTCTTAGAGAGCGAGAATGACACGTTACCGGACCTCTCAACGGCGGTTACAATGGTTAGCAAAACTACGAAAGACGCAGAACCAGTTTCGATATCCACTCTAGGTGGCGCCACTATCACTAAAACTACTGCAGCTCCTAAGACCGACAAAGTGGAAAGTCAGGTTAGTTGTAACAAGAGCATTAACAGGGTGTAAACCTTTTAAAAATTATAGTTTTCTAAAAAATATAATGTTTTATGTCACAGAATAACACTGCGAATATCCTTCGAAAAGTTGAAGAAATGAAGAAAAAAGTAGTCCCTTCACCACCACCACCTGAACCAAGTTAGTATATAAATGAATATCGAACTTATAAAGAATTGGTTTTGCCATTTAAACTGCCTGCCTATACAAGAATTTTGTGGCCAAATGCTTCTATAGAGTGGCCTACTATTACCCCACATGTCATTCACTTATAACCAAGTTCAACTAGATTTGTTAGTCAATCAGTCCAAAGACCTGCAGTGCATACTTAGTTGTCAATGTTATTAGATAATATCTTAAATATTTGACCTTCTCAGAAGTTCCAACTTAGACGCCAACTAACAAAATGTTTTAAAGAAATCACTAATTTTCGGTAACAACTGATCGCCTAAATACTTAAGTACTTAATACCTACGACTAAACTAGTTTTTTATATGGCCATAAGTATTAATAAAATAAAAATTGAATGTTACAGAAAAAAATAATGTTACAGTTGCTGAGAAGAAAACTGTAAATAAAACTGAAAATGGTAACACGGCCGCTGGTACAAGTGACAAGTCACTAAGAATGCTGGAGAAAGACCTACAAGAACTGAAGAGGGTAATTATATTTATATTGTTAATTTTTTTAACGTTGTCTCCTATTTCGTTTGTACGTTTGCAAATAGACAATGTCACATACACATCACATCTAGACCCGAAACAAAATTTTTTGGATCACACAAAGAGTTGTTCCGTGCGGGAATTAAAACCGAGACTCGTTGCGCTGCAGCCAGTTGCCTAGCCACCGCACCAACTGTACAGTCATATTGTACTTAAGTGTATTAAATTACAGTCTTTGATTTTTTCACGACGCAAAAAAAGGCTTCGTAGTTTTTGCTTATTTCCTTTATATGCTGATGATGGCGGTTACATTCATATAAAAAATCGGATCGGTCTACACTAATGTCTGACAATGCCCAAAGCATTATGTCTGCCACCACATATCTTTTTGTATTAAGCTTTTTTTTATTCCATCAATTTACTATTTTGCAAACAAACAGTAGGAGCCATTAATCGCATCCTTTCACTGTCTTATATAGTCCAAAAACCTGCATTCCTAACACAAGATGTTGATAACTTTAATGATGTTATCAATATCTCGTAATCTAGGAACAAACGAACGGAACTACAGTTTTAATAATATTTCTAAATTGACACTTTGTAACATAAAATTGTAAATGTATTATTTCACTTCTATTCCAGACCCATCCGCCTAAGGAAGCTGTTAAGACACCAGCGAAACCCATTGACACATTAAGAAATAGACGGGCACAAATACATACTTCCACTCCTAAAGTGAGGTGAGTCAATCTTCTTACAGTACAGCGAAAAAATATATGAAAATTTTGATTAGTAATTCTTTTATGATAATCGACTTGATGATGACCTTAAATTATGTCGTACTTTTCTTCTTTCTTTTAAAATGATATTATAACGGTCTGCGTTCCCTAAATTGTTTAATCAGGGTGTTTCAAAGCGCGAATGAAAAAGTTGCTTATGGGTAGGCGTGCTCCATCGTACCTACGTCGTATCGTATCTATCATCGTCTGCCACCAGTCGAAATTTTGGCCGCACTATTACCAATTGCAACCAAAAATGTTGTAATAATTATACATTTTCCATCACAGAACTCCTATAGCTACGGATGAACGCAAGGCACAAATAGTATCAAAATCCCCGGTACCAGAGAAAAAGATTCCGGAACGGCGCGTCCTTACCAAAGAGAACAAGGAACCCAAAGAAATTAAAGCTAATAACGGTAATGCAAAGGAAGAAAAAGAGACCAAGGAGAAGCTTGCTAAAGAAAAGGAGATGAAAGAGAAAGAAGTGAAAGAAAAAGAGGCTAAAGAAAAGGAAGTTAAACAAAAGGAAGTAAAAGAAGGAACGCCGAAGGTACCTATGTCTTTTGTATGTTTGATATTATATGGCACATGCTACTTTTTATTGATCGAAGTATTTTTATATAATCATCTCTGAAAAATGGACTATCCGGAAAAAAAATATCCGTAACCCCCAAAAGGAGGGTAAAGAATCCTCTTTTTTTTGATGCTGTGTGTGCTTTTACCAATGCTAGTACCAATAATTTTAGAACCATACAAACCCAGACTTAATGATAATAATGCTTAAAAAAATATGTTTACAGAATGTTATCAAAAATGGAGGTGAAAAACCAAGTCCAGAAGAAGGAATTCGCCGCTCTACTAGACCATCTAAAATAAAAGATTACGCCAAGATGATAAGAGACAGGTAAAATAAATTAATAATTTACAGTTTAAGATAGTGAATTAATGCTGGTATAAAAAATACATAAATTTATTTGAAATTTAAATTTTATAGGTCACAAGATTCTGATGAAAATGATGATTCAGATGATGCTGACGATGAAGAATATAAAGAGGTTGAGAAACCTGTAGAAGTAAGAATTACTTTCGTTATCTTGACTTATTTTTAAATGGCCACGCGATTCCATTTTCTTATTATAAGACTAGCATTCCATGAAGGTCCAAAAGAGAGGTTTGACATAATCTCTACGCCCGATCTCTACTAAATATAAAGTCAAGTAAAGGAAAGATTAGAGGTAGCGACAAGTCTATCTTATCATTCATTAATAAATATTTATAAATTATAATGTTACAGCCCAAGTCCAAGGCACGCAGAACTAGTATAAAGACCCCGGTACAGAAAGCACCCGTATCAACGGCCACTCCCACGCCTAGAAAACGTGGTCGACCACGCAAGGATGCTGTGTAAGTAGTAAAAATGCCATATTGCAATATACGGCCTAAGTATGTGGAGGAAAAGTAGACTAAAGGAGAAGGCTCGACGAATTTCAAGTCACTCCGGGGCTCATTTTCAAGAGCCTACAGCAAACTTATTTATTTTTACTAAATTATTTACAATATCGTATTTTAATCATTATTTATTTTTTTCTAAAATTTCACTTGTACAATTTATTCAGACCTCCGAAAATAAGGAAAGAGGAAGTGGAAGATGAAGAGGCCGAGGCTTCTGATAGCGAAAAAGATAAGCCTAAAGCTGCGCCAGAGCCAGAGCCTGCGCCTGCGCCAACGCCAACGGCAGCGCCATTGGCTGAGAAAGAGAGAGAAAGCAAGACCCCCGTAGAAACACCCGTGAGTAAAAAAACCTAGAAAATACATACTGAAATTATTAACTGCGTTGACGACGGGGCGAACATTGCTCTAAATACTGATCGAACTTAATAAATATTTTGGCAGCCCACAAGCCTGTTACGCAATACTCGTGTAGTTAAGCCCCTAGCGTGGTTTGAAACTAGTCGCATAATAATATTTATGACAGTATTACAGTTATTATTTCACATTTCAGGAAATTAACAAGACTCCGGATCCGAAACCTCAAAATACACTGGTATCACCTACGGGGCAGACATTGAAAAAAGTAATCTTTTATTTCTTATTGGCATATTCTATAGCTAGACGTATCCTATACATTGCTGTAGCACAGCACGATTTTCTTTAAAAAAATATAGACATACTATTAAAATTGTACTTGCTAATTAAAAAAAACTTTCACAGATTCCCATCAGAGCGCTTCCTCCTGGAGTAAAACCCCTGCCCTTACCAGTTAACGCAAGACGTAAGTAATGTTCTTTCTCTAACAATTTTAACAAAGAACTTAATCAACAAACCGTATCTTACATAAATATATAATTTCTTTATAGCCATGGGCGGCGGTGAAGTCTGCGAGATGCAGATCGGCAAGAAAGTTGTCAAAGTACAAAAGATTGTAATGACAAAAGCAGAAGTGGAGGCGATGGCTAAAAAGGGTCTAGTGGAAATGAAGGTAAAAATGACCTTTCAAATCAAGTTACTTGCAATATCAGATACCTTTTTCGTAAGATCTTTTGTACAAGGATGAATACTGTACATACTGTTCGTACAAGATATTTTAGCACTATCATTGGGAGAAATAATCGTTTCAGACTATGGGTAGGATAGGCTTATTGCATTGCATTGCAATCAACATTTATTGCAAACTCATTCTCTATGTTATCTCCCCCTTCCTCCCTATCTCATAGTACCTAACATATGTTGGGCGTGGTGCAATATTGGACGATAAGTACACAGTTTATAATTCTTTTGTTTGCTTTTAGGATGGCACCATGGTTCTTAAGCAGGGAATTAAAATTCCCACTTCAGATCCCACAGCGCTCAAAACTAGTCTAGTTGGAGAAGGTAAGAATCATTTTGCACTATCAAACAACACTCGTTAATCTTCCCTGAATTCGCCTTCACTTTATATACGTAAATATTAACACGTTTATTCATTTCAGCTGAACCCAGCACAAGTAAAGAATCTCCTAGCAAGAAAGAAAAGACAGCAGCGCCGACACGGTGTGACTTTGGGGAAGACACGTGAAGTGCACAATAACTGTTGTTTTATACTTAGGTATCCACTTTTATAATAAGAAGACACATCCGTGTCAATTATACATAGGTAGTGTTAAACACCACTGTATTTAATTAAGGACTTTCTCATAGACATTACTGTAAAATGTTAGGTATTAAAAATGATTATGTAATGCACCGATTCCGATGCAAAGTTTCTACTCTAATGATCTTTAATATGTACTTTACGTATTTGTAAGATAATCACTACATGTTTATTTAAGTAGTACAGAATTATTAAAACGACTAAGTTTTAAAGTTGTCAAATGTATTTTAAAAGTTCAATTACACAATATGTTAGAGCTGTAAGAATTGTATACAAGAATAAAACAGTAATTATAAATATCATAATCCCAGCCTTTTTATTTTCCCATAAAAAATATTTGTGCAATCTATGTTGCAATTTGAAAACTACAGTAAGTAGTAGGAGTCGCACAAGCAAAATTAGTGTCATGTAATTTTAGAGGAAAGGCAGCGCGTCGTTGACGTTATACTTTTGTTTATTCTACTGACCGCTAGATGACACTATTAAAAATACTTTTGAACAGATGTCGCTAGTGTTCACTATTTGCCGCGCTTTTCAAGAAAGGCAAGAAGCGGCTGGTTCAAAACATTTGTTCAAACGAGATCAAAAACGCGCGACAGCCGGCTGCGGCAGACGACATCGCAACAAAATAAGGATTGCAATTTAAAGTTTTAACACTTATCCAGAATTTTAATTCTGAAGTTTATTAAGATAAGTGCGGTGAATAATTTTAACTTAATAAAATCCGGGAGTTCAGAAGCGGTGAAAACTTTTTCGCGCTAGAAACACATAACTTCTGAATTTAGGTAAGTGAATATTTTATTTCTCACTAAATAAGTAATTAAATATTTTTTCATAGAAATACGAATCATTGTACCAATATTTTCCTTATTTTAATGATTTTCGCCACTACACTACTCGCAAAATATCGATGTTTTTTCGGAGTTTTATCATAATGAAAACTTCCCTACATACATATTTATGAATAAATCTATAATTAAAAATAAAGCATAATATACGTAACCAATTTACTTTTAAACTCTTGCGTCTATTTCGTGGTCTACAGAAACTCATAGATCTATGTATAACCCTTTATTTTCTCCGTGTTATTTAAATACACGATGTTATCTACTATAAAAAGATCTAACTTTATATTACAACACTTACCTATAAAGTTCAAATAAAAAATAATCGTATTTTTTTAGTTCTTAGTCAAGATATCAATAAAAGGTAAACCTTTTCATTGAAATTTTATCTTAACCTGTTCAGATGAATTAATTAAAGCACATAAGTAATAGGTACATAATGTTATTAATAGATGAAATAGCAATCAAGTAATTTTTGAACATTATTTTTTTACGTCAAGGAATTTAATTTGGTACGATGTAATTTTATGGCAGGTACAAACACAATTGATAAATTGGATAAGATAAGATATGATGGTACCTTACGTTAATTCTCATTGTTCATAACGTTTTCCTGCAGACCCTATTTCTCTTACCGGTTGGTACCGGTTTCATAACTTTTACTACAATTATAATGTTTGCGTCAGTTACGTCTAACGTAAAATAAAAAAATCAGAGGGTAACTCTGATTGCTGCTGAGGCTCCTTAATATAGGTATATATAGGTATATTAAATGTTAATTTGCAACCGTTCGTTTGTTTTTGTTCTGTTTCAGTCTAAAATTCTGAACGAAATTTGATGAAAATTGCTTAAAGAGATAGGAGGTTCTAAAAAACGTTTAAGGTATTGATAATACTTTTTTTGTTTATAAAAAACTTGGAAAAGGAATTGGTATTAAATAATTTGAATGCCAATATAGATGTGACACATTTCGTTACCTTTTTTGAACGGGGAAAATCCTGAAATAACCTCTTTCAACCTGAGTGGGGCAAGAAAATGACAGTCTTACTGACTAAAAACCACCCCGTTTCCTTATCCTGCTCCGGGCCGAGCCACACTATAAAAACTTTTTATTGCACTTGCTTGCACTCTTAGATAATCCCAGCGAACACAATTTATTGCCTGCTTGAAAACAAAGCACATTTCGTAAAAAAAATCATAGTTACTTATTCAATGTTCTAGTGCTTTCATTTTGACATTAGAGATAATCTACAGCAGTTACTTACGTATTACGAGAAGGTAATAAAAATAAAATACTTAACTACTGCATTGAAACTTAGGCAGTTCATATTATGAATGGTTGAGTGCCAGGGACGTTGTTACAAGTTCCATTAATGTTTAGCCAGAATGCTACACATATTCTGATTAGCTATATTGGTAGATAGATATGTAGATATAGTGGTAGATATTTCCCAAAAAAATACTTATAACAGGAAAAAGGAAATTAATATCCGGTACTTACCTAATAGGTAAGCTTGTAGTGTATCTATAGATATTTTACTACAATAAAATACGTCAATATCGATACAGAAATTCCGTCATATTTTTTTTTTCCGTTTATACAAATCATCAACATTCATGTTACTAAGTACCTACATACTTATAAGATTTGCTTCAGACAGCTTCACAGTTCGATAAGTTTACGCATGACGTAACATAACAAGAAAAAATGTCTTCAGGCTTGAAAAATTCAGCCATTTGACATTGAGACATGAAAATCGTGAGGTAATTGACAATAAAATTAAGAATGTCAACATTGAATGGTTATCACGGTGGTGTTAGGTATAGAGTTGAGCCCCAAACTTGCTAAATGATCAGACACGGTTGGAAGCGAAGCAGGAAACTGAATGAGTAGACAATGGTACCTGAGAGACTAGGTTGAAAAAATTACGTAACAAGTCTAATTCTTAAAGCAAGTCCATCATTTATGCAGGCCATAATGACAATGACAGTTGATTCGTATTAACTGCAGCCATTTTCTCTAGTAGACAAGTTTTATTCTACTTAATGACCTGTCTACTATAAATAACATGGTTCTGATACACGTTTAAAAGCACCAACACAACTTCAGACATATTCTGAATCTGTTAGCAGTTTGATTCAATATTTTTCCACTCAATCGTACTTTACAAAGACAATTAATTCCATTGACAAAGGCGATCATGCGATCTCTTTGGGGATTTTCCTGCTTTCATGTTTCTTGCGTCTCATTCAGTTGTAGTTTTTTTTTATCTCTGTTCAGTCACACGTAGATAATTAACTAATGATACCTAGCCGACCAACCTCGACTATGGCCAACTAACATTTCAACATGGGTTTTCCTACGTCCGAATTGTTTCGAATGCTTTATTACTTAAATTGCAGCTCAGATCAAACGTGCAAAAAAGGAGTCGACAAAAAATAATTAATGGACAAGTAATTACTTTAATTCTAAACCAGGTAACTTTATAGGAATTTTGTTTATTTTATTTTGTTAGTGTTGTTGTTTTGACATTGTCGGTAACAACACAGTTGGCACTTGTTGGCATTTTTTTTAATACTTACTCAAATTATTTTTATTAATTAACGAACTAAGTCATGTTACATCGATACCAAGCTACCTTCTATAAAAGATGTTAAATTATAGCTAAACTCTAAAATATTTCAAAACTATTGTTTAAAATACCTAGTACGTTCCTACAGGCAAGCATTTCGTGGAAAAACAAGTGAGCTTCTAAACATTATGCAGACTTCAAGTAACCGAACTTAATCTGAATACGAATGAATAAAATAGAATGTTCAATCGCCTATAACTTACTTTTACATAGTAAAGGACGTAACAGAGGTAATATTACACAATAAAACCTAAAAATGTCGGTCGTAATTTTAGTGGCTAATAAGAGTAATATTATAACTTTTTGTTATAAGTAGAGGGTAGGTTTAATGGCGTAATCTACATGGCACAAACTCAATCAATCTCCGAAACTTCAACTTGTTACTCAATCAAATCAATCAGCTAGGCATTTATAGGCATCTAGTCAAAAATAAGACCGTAGTTATTTATATTGACATTTTAATTATGTCACATGAATAAACAAAGGGACAAATCGGCATAACATATGCTACGAATGATGACCATATGTGCTTCTAGTTGAATTACTGATGGTGACAGCTACTGGCTGCTGATTGGCCGTGGCACTATTGTAGCTAGTGTAACTAGTAGCTACTCGACACTCAACAACTGTGACGGACAACGTGCAAAGCGAGTGAATTCGTCAACGACGTAACGACCACCGTAGCGAATTAAGCTTTTGAAATCGATCACGCCGTTCTAGTCCCACCGACTCCATTCATTATAGTAATGTGTAAATAATTGTTATCTGCATGAATGTTACATTAACCATTAAAATTCAAAAATAGTTCACACAAATATTCCGCATAGCGTCGACTAACGGACACGAAAATTCACGTTTCGTCGAAATGTTTTCAAACAATTCAATGAATTTGTATCATTCATTTAGATCTATAAAGAATACGCGACAAGCTCGGTTCCATTATCGAGTTGGTACTTACCTAAACACATTCTTCTCATAGCATATAAAATATGTTAATAGTCACTGTCATTTAGTTTAAATTACCCTAAAAACGCACATGTCATGTGATAATGCGGACCAAGGACTTTAATTTAAAATTTTCTTAGAACAATATTTACCTATCCAAAGTTAATAAGTACTTAGGTAAGCCCATAGATACGTGTTGGTCCTATGTTTACCGAGCAGCGTGGACGATGTCCATCACCTGGGTTCTTTCTGTTCAACACTCGACCGTAACGAGTGACAGCTGTTCTCCATACAAATATTTGCCAGCGTTTATCTCTCAGCTTGTAAAGATTAAGAGTTACGACATGCCGTATCAATCGGGTTTGCCGCCAAACGCCTCGTTCATCATTTTGACGTAACCCGTAAACTTACTAGTGAGTTTAACGTAGGTAACTAACTCTTAATATATTGGGGGTAAAAAATGTATTAGGTATGCAAATTAATGCGGTTCTTTGTGAAGGCTATTGTTGCTAGCCGGCGAAGTATATTATGGGGAAATGCGGACCGGACGTCCGACTCTATGTATGCTTATATATAAATTACAAGGCTCTGAAACGCCTATTACACTATCGCCTTGAACTTGCAAAAATGTAAAGCTTATAAAATATTAACTACGCTTTTCGTTCTACTGCCTAATTAGTGTGTACCTACCTAGTTAATGATTTTATTTCATTTCTACGTAATTAAGTAATCGTAAGCCATTGATATTGAATAAAATATAACAGTAATCTTATAACTCGCTCTCAAATCTAATTACGGAATCAATAACCAAGGCAAAGCAAAACCTTTTCTATTGTTTAGCTATATAAGAGACAATCACAGTTGCCTAAAAGGAAAAAATAATTTATTAATTATATTCTACGATTTAACACCGCTATCAGTAAACAAAACTGGGTAGAAGGTTATATGTTGAAGGCAATGCGTTATAAATAATATTTTTCAATTAATAATATTTTATATTTCAATGATTTTACTTATATGAATCACAGTTTGAAATTCCCTGTGGTGTTTACATATACATATATTTTTATTGAAAATATTTCCTTCCCTTGTTGTTAATACATTCCGCTACCTAGATACGTGCAAACAATAACAATTGATTCGATAATTTACGCACTACCTACTCATAATTACGAGGAAAAGAAAATTTACAATTTTAAATAATAAATTAAAGTAATACATATATTATGACGCATGAATAAATCACACAGGTCCATTCTCTTCTCTTGTTTTCCTTATAAATGTTAATATGAAAGCCTAAATAATATCTCCCAGCCACAATATTTTGTAAACCCAAACGAATTAATCTATTGGCCTATAATC